TAGGGAAAAACTTAGTTCTTTCCTAACATGTCTTCCCTCCCTGTGAGTCTCCTTTACTACTCACAGAAAACACTTCACTTCTGGGCACCAAACGTGTGCAAGCTTTTTCCCACAACAAGCAATTCTGTGACACCAGCTGCGTGTTCTACAATTTCTCAATTCTGACACTGTGTACTTGGAGATAGCCTCAGATACTGCAGGTTAAGGGCTCAGTCCCATAAGACTGACCACTCTCCCCCAGCCATCCCTCCCACCACTTCAGACACCAGCTGCAAGCTCAGGTTTTCACCTGTGCTTCTGACCAACTATAGAAGTTCCAAAGACCTCCTCTCCTTGGGGTTGATTAATTTTCTAGAGCAGTTCACAGAACTCAGGAAAACACTTATGTTTACTAGTTTATTATAAAAGGATATGATAAAAGATACAGGTGAAAATACAGATGGGAGAGGTGCAGAGGGCAAGATACGTGGGAAGGGGCATGAAGCTTCCATAACCTGTCCAGGCGCACCACTCTCCCAGCCCAACCTGTGAGCTCTCTGAGCCCTGTTCTTTTTGGGATTTTATGGAGGCTTCTTCACATAGGAACGATCCATGATTACTTCCAATTTCAGCCCTTCTCCCTTCATGAGAATGGGGGGGGGCACGGGGTGGGCACTGAAAATTCTAAGCTTCTGATCATGTCTCAGTCCATCTTTCCAGTGACCAGCCCTCATTCAGGAGCCATCCAGGAGCCCACCCAGAGTCACCCCATTAGAACAAGACACTCCTACCACCCACAAAATTACAAGGGTTTCAGGAGCTCTGTGTCAGGAACACAGGTCAAAGACCAGTATAGAACAAGAGATGTTCCCAGTGTTCTTATCACCAGGGGGTCAGAGACCAGTATCTATTTTCTATTATCTCACAGCCACTCTCTTCTGTAGATTAAATTCACTGACCCTAGCTTCAGTCCCTCAGGTGACATATGACAAGCCTAATTCCCTGAGTCTTTAGACTATAAGAACATCTATTATATCCCTGGGACCTTCTGCCACCCCCCACCCCATTCCTCCCATCCCAACAGATACACTTCTCCAGACAAAAACCAAAACTTAAGACAAAAAAACCTCCATACCAGGTCTCTCATCTATATCCCCCATGGATATCATTCTGGTCTCTTAACTTTAGAGTAGCTTCAGATCTGAGCATCTTCCTTTAAATATGGTACCAAGATGGAAACATATTCCAGGTATGAACAAACTAGAGGAAGATTTTCATCAACCATCTCTTCCATTCTATATTATCTTTACCACTTGAAAGATTGAAGATACTGCAAAGAACATGAGCTTTGAAGCCACAGGACCTGAATTTTAATAGTGGTCATTATTAGCTGAAATGTCTGAGCCGATTTTTGTTATCTATAAAAAAAGTTTCATCTGTTCTCCCACAGGCATGTTATGAGAAAGAAATGAGCAGTTTGTAAGTGCTTAATATAGTGGACTTAATGGTAACAGTGTAAGCTAAGACCATATCTCTTGGTAGTCACATCATACTCTTTGTTCTTACTCAACTGTTACTATGTATTGGTCAGGGTTCAGAGAACCTGACTGGTTAGTTTAGCAGAAAAGAATTTATTTAAATTTTACTGACTTCAGAAATAATTTATACCATGACCCAGTACACACATGCACACATAAATATATAATTCAAATAATCTTCACAATATTTACCCATCTGACATGTTGTCCTCTGCTGTTTTTCTATTTTTTTTTTTTTTTAATGCTAGTTATGACCCACTGAGTTGATTTCATGACTCACTAATGAATCGTGACCCATAGTTACATTTCCAAAGTAATGGAAAACACTACACTGCAGGGTATTAAATGGCCTGGAGAATCACTAGAAGGACAGAGAAAAAAACTCTAACCTGTGTTTCCAGGAACTGGGTGGCCAAGAGAGCTGCCAGCTCCAGAAGCATTCCATCTGTATGACCCACATCTGCAAAATGATGCCTTTTGAGTCTCACACTAGTGCATCTGATTGAAAAAGTCCTGGTGTAAAGGGGTTTGGGAAATGCAGAAAAGGAAAGCACACCAAGAAGGCTGCAGTAGATGTTAATTAAGCTAATTCATGCTGCTGAGACTTACTCAAAGGTACTTGGTTTGGACAAACCCAGTGGCCTAAGCATACCTCTTTACATCTATTTATCCCTATTAAATTGTATACTTTCTTGGATGCAGCCTATTACTGCTACTTCAGTGAGGGAAAGTCACATAACTACAGTTTACTTGACAGAATGAAATTCAGAAGAACAAACCAACTGGAAATTCCCAAGTTACATTTCCTTTCACAAACACACCTCTACCAAGTTAACCTGGGGTCTACAAAAAAGGGAGGTTAAAAAAAAAAAAAAAAGGAAAAACCAAAAAAAAAAAAAAAAAAACTAAGGATTTAAGGATAAACCTAAAAATAAAAAAAATAAACTGAGGATTCTCTTGTTCCCACCCTCACAAAGAATCTTAAGCTTAAAAAGACATTTTTCAGATCACTGAAGAGAAGGGACGAATTAGGAATAATTTTAACTTCTTTTTATTGTCCTTCAGTTCAGTTTATACAGTAATTTGTATCTGTGAAAGAATTCAAATTTACTGAATGAAAGGCATTGCTTATGGTATATAAAGCAATTAAAAAATAAGTTACTGAAGGGGTAATATATAGCGAATTAAATAATACAGGTTTTGGGGTAACTGATGTGCATTTAATTTAAAAGAAACTGTGTGAGGTCACCACACAGATTTATATAACAGTTAAATGCAGAAAAACACAAGAAAGTAAGTTTCTATGTGATCCCAACAGAGGTATCCTTTCCTTGATCATAAGAGAACCCAAGTATTTTTAGAAGCTAAAACTGTTAAGTTTACAGAAGTGCAAAACACCAAAACACTTTAAGCAAAGCCTTTATTTTCAAGGAAAAGTATATTTTCTCATTTTCTGTTCTTGTCATAAATTTTAATTATTTCCAGTGGAACCAAAACCTCCTGAACCCCTTTCAGTGTCATCTAAAACCTGAAAAGACATAAAGGTAGTAAGCCATGTAGTTAATTTCAGATCCTCTTTCAGTTCTCTCCAGCTCCAAATTTGTAAGACTTTTATTCTTGCTATACCATTGTTTCAAAAAGGAGATTACAGAAAATTAAATTTTTAAGGTTTCATAAATTATTGAATAAGTTCCAAAAAAGCTAAAGGAACAGTAGAATTTCACAGACTATTTAAGTGGTTTATTATCCAAAGTAATGCTGTATAATAGCTATGGAAAACATTTCAAGAAATTCTAAGATTTAAATTTTGCCTAAAATAGGACTAGTCACATATTCTACCTCAGATGGTCCCCAACTTAGGATGGTTTGACTTATGATTTTTTGACTTTATGATGGTGCTAAAGTGATTTGCATTCGGTAAAAACTGTGCCCCAAATATTGAATTCTGACCTTTTCATGGACTAGTGATATACGGTGTGATATTCTTGTGATGCTGGGCAATGGCAGCAAGCTGCAGCCACCAGTCAGCCACGCCATCACAAGGGTGAACCACTGATAACACAACTGTTCTGTACTCATACAACCATTCTATTTTTCACTTTCAGCATGGTAGTCAATAAATTACATGAGATATTCAACACTTTCTTATAAAACAGGCTTTGTGTTAGATGCTTTTGTCCAACTGTAGGTTAATGTAAGCATTCTGAGCATGTTTAAGTTAGGCTAGGATAAGCTATGATGTTCGGTAGGTTAGATGAATTAAGTGCATTTTCAACTTAAGATATTTTCAACTTATGATGGATTTATTGGGATGTAATCCCATTGTTAAGTTGAGGAAAATCTGTATTTAGTTACAAATAGCATATTAAATCCTCAAAATTTTGTTTTTCCTTCACTGAAGATGTTACATCATTTATTCCCTATTCAGCTTTTATGATACTTACTTGAACTTCCTCTATTTCTGGGTAAAATATCCGTTCACAAATGAGCTGTGCAATTCGATCACCCTTTTTGACTTCAAAGGAAAAAAACAAAACAATTTATTACTGATATTGATGCATTCTCTGTATCCTGCCTTGTATAGTACAATGAGAGTTATAGTAGTATGTATTACTTAGACATACATAACTTGGAAAACTCACTGCACTTATGTGACTGCATATATTTGACATACCTTCGAACTTTTCTTTGCCAAAATTAAACAGTACAACACCAACGTTTCCTCTATAATCTTCATCTATGACACCAGCTAGGAAAAAAAAAAATATTAGCTTGATTTATGGTACCGAAAGATTAAGGGTATATGATTACCTCAGAATCATTCCTAAGTAGCTCTGAGAGTTTTATCCTTACAATGAATATGTGAATCTTGCTCTGGCACTACGTAAAGCCTCAAAACTAAGAAATTACTAAAATGCAAATAAGAATTAAGAAAGTGGTCCTAATTTTCCAACCTGTCATCCTTACAAATGGTGACCACTACCTACTCTAAGTTGGGAGTAGGCACTTAGCATCTCTGACAAGTCATCCTGAATTGCTCTCTCCAATCCTATTGTCTATTTGTGGCACACCCGCCCAAAAGACTAAAAGAAAATTATGGTTTGGGTTTTAAAGGCTTCTCCTGGTAGCAACTTCCCACTAACATCCAGACTGAAATATGATTGAGTCATAAATAAAAATGTCAAAAAGCCTAAAGATCTGCAGTAGAATAAGTCAATGTTAAGCAGCAGTCTAGCAAATACCAGAACGTTCCATTTTTATAATGAAAATGGAGCTGAATCGTTCAGTTCACATTCTTCTTCTCCTTTTAATTTAAGCTACCAGCCTTTCTCAGAGCATCATCTCTCAGAAGACATTAGCACATAAGCTTAATAATGAGTACACTTTTACACAGAACTGTGTGCAATTAGTACCTGTTTGAGGTTATAAACACAAAGGCAGCAAATCTTTGCAGGAGAGAAACTTGAGCCAGGGCCCTGCCTTGGCCCAGAGAAGTACATTTACCAGACTTGCTAGCATGTATCTTTGGGCCAAGAATCCAAAACACTTCCATAAACACAAGCACAGATAATATAGGTGCACCAGGCCTTCTCATTTCCTTTTTTAATATTGAGAAATAATTCACAATTCAATGGCTCTTAGCATATTCAAAGTTGTGCAAACACGACCACAATCAATTTTAGAACATTTTTATTACTGCAAAAAGAAACCCCCTGCCTGTTAGCAGTCACTCTCCTACCCCCTTCATCCCCCTCAGTGCCTGTCTCCTTTTATACACGATAATTCTTTTCCCCCAGTTTGTAAAATGCTGGATAGGATTCATGTGAATTAAACGTAGCTCCATGTCACATCTTACAGCTTCTCATTAACACCTCACTTCTTTAACAAAACTCTTATCAAAGAAGAAAAAAGAAAATAAAAAGAATCAGGGGGCTTCCCAGGTGGCGCAGTGGTTGGGAGTCCGCCTGCCGATGCAGGGGACGTGGGTTCGTGCCCCGGTCTGGGAAGATCCCGCATTCCGCGGAGCGGTTGGGCCCGTGAGCCATGGCCGCTGAGCCTGCACTAGCTCAATGGGTACTAATGCTGGTTGGTCAGACTCATAATTATTTGAAGGTCAACTGAAAAAATTTTTTTTTTCTTTTTTAGAACAAAGGTAAGCATCCCCTTTCAATTTTCTCATGTAGGGGGGAAAAAAAGCAAAATTTAAAAAAGTTCCACCATGGGGAAAAATATTCAGAAAACCAACATTTTAGATTTTTCCAGTGGATTAGAGTAGAAGTTTAAACGAACCCCTGTGGTTTATGCATGAATTACTAGGGGTAAGTGAAACTGAACTTAAGCACTTCTTAAAAGGTTCCTGATACAACACTTTTAAGAGTTTGAATTAAAGATAAACTTATTTTTAACAGTGAGAAGGGTGAGTGTAAAAGTGGCTGAAAGTGGTTCATATCATGTCTAGACTGAAGGAAACAGTATTCTTTTCTGGTTCTAAAGCAATAAAACTTTGACCAATTCAAAAAATACTGAAGCCTGGCATCTTTCCCCACTGCCAGTTGATCATTAAATCAGTCCTTGATATTTATTGAAAGAATGGATATAAAAATGAGACCAGCTGTTTTCTATATTATCTAGATGTAGGAAGTTTCAGCTGCAGGAACAGTTTAGATCAGAGTTAATGAAGGAACCCCTCAGTAGCAGGTCATTCCATGCCTCCCATGCCGGAACAAATGACCACACGAGGCCTTGGCATCTGCATGTGGGAGTGCTGAAGTACAGGCTAGCACTCATTCACCTAGAATGCATTAGATGAAGGCAGTGTGGGCTGACTTCTGAACTCGTTTCATTCCCCAAATAGTACAAATACATACGAAGTAAAGGCCAATAATGTTCCCCGACCCTCCCTCAGGTAGCCAATGTTACAATAATATATTTTACACATCTTCTTCCACCTAAAATATTATTGATATCCTTGGGGAGTAACATATCTAAAAGTCATTCTTTTAGATCCAAGATATGGAAATACAGCACCATTATTTCTATGTAACTATTCTCTTACATAACATCAGATATTCAGGTCGTTTTCACATTTTCCCCATAATAATCAAGGCAGTCCTTTACATATGTTCTTGAGTGTTAGTGTTTTTTATTCTCATCAAATAGTTTCAAAAAAGCACTTTCCGGGGTTGAAGGGTGTGTATATTTAAAATTTTAATGGATATCGCTAGATAACTTTGCAAAAAAGGTATAGCAATTCAAATTTCTATCAGTGACATTTAAGAATGCCCATTTCCAAACTCCCTGACAGTACCAGATAGTAGCAATCTTTTAAACTCTGGCCGTGGTGAGTAAAAAATGGTATCTCGTGGCTTTATTTACATTTCCCTGATGACTAATGAGGCTCGGCTTTTTTCCTCCTTACATGCATTGCACATTTGCTCGTCCTCTTGTACATTTTATGATCCGTTTTGTTTTTTTCTTATCTGTTTGGGTATTTAACTCTTTCTCATATGACTTGTAAGTATTTATCTGTTTACTTTATGGTATCTTCTACAATACAAAAACACTCCTTTTTGTAAAGGCCTGTGCTATGTATCACACTTATATGTTTGGGTGTCTTGAATTCTGCAAAGCCAGATTATCTACCTAGATTTTATGCTTGGCACACAGAAGTTTGAAAAGTCCTTAACTAAAAGAAATGAAGTAATTTGAAGTCAATTAAAATATATAACAAAAAAAAGCCCTTCTTTTTTTTTAAGTATGATGCTAATAGTATAAAAAAAATCTAATAGTTCTAAGTTCATTTATTACTTATTACTCAAAGGCAAACTGAGCTTCAAGAAAAACACAAGACTTATTCCTTTTCTACATAAGGGACATAAACATCAGGGATATTTCTCTTCATGAGAAAGCAGAAAGTATTTTGAAGTTATCACTGGAAAAATCATGCATTGGAACTGGCAGAGTGATTAACTGACTTCAGGCAAAAGTTTTACTGTGTCAAGACTTTGGCATGTCATTTGTTGGAAACCCTCTTTAGTGAAAACTATCCCCACCTACCAGATGTGAATTCTGAACGGAATCCTGCATACTCAACTTTTCCCTTTGACCCTTATTTACAGACTAGGAATTCTAACAACATCCCTCTTCTGAAATAAAAACTGTGGCCAACTATGATAAACTTGTGCCTATGAGACATTTCTAAGATACTATGCATCCAAGAACACACCACAATGTGATTGTGTGAATAATACCACACCAACCACCAGGCAAACTAACTTTCCACTGCTTTTACATGAATTTTTTTCAGAGGATTGTTTTAAACAGAGAAAAAATTAGTAACAAAGTCGGAAAAAAAGTTTCCATTAAAAAAAAAAAGATCTGATAAGTCCCTAAGGGAAAGGAAATATCAGATACATTATCATTCAATCTTCCCATCACTCAGGGACAAGCACACTAATTTTCATTGTTACAGATAAGGAAACTGAGGCTCAGGAAAGTTAAGTAATAACTAGCTTGTTAGTGACAAAGCTGGGGCCCAAATCCTGTTGTTATTCCAAAGCCCATGTTCCTTTCACAACCCTTTGAAATTTATTTAAAAATATGTACAATCTTTTACATCCTTAAGTTATAGGCCTAAGTGACCATACTGACCTTGTAAAAGTATTTTTGAAAGTCAAGCATAACTGAACCCAGGCAATCCTCAGCCCCCAAGGTCCGAGGTCTGTCCGTCTCAGTCAAACTCTGCTCCTCTTCAGTCCCTAAGACCTACTTTTAGGCTCCCGACTTGCCCCACAGCACCATCTAGTGACACCATGGGGAGACAGCCCAGGGACAGGCCTCAGCCACATGTTAACCCCTGAAGTGCAGGTAACAGTGAGCTAATTCAGGGCAGGGCTCCGCTGGTGGAGGGAAGGGGCAGAGTGATTCACAGTATTTAACTGCAGTGGAAAGAACAAGGGGATTGGAAAAATATGGATGGATTCCAGTTTTTAACGTGTCAACTTGGGCTCATTTTTTTTAATATAAATTTTTTCATTTATTTATTTTTGGCTGTGCTGGGTCATCGTTGGTGCATGCAGGCTTTTCTCTACTTGCAGTGAGCGGGGGTTACTCTTCATTGCGGTGTGCAGGCTTCTCATTGTGGTGGCTTCTCTTGTTGCAGAGCATGGGCCCTAGAGCGCATGGGCTTCAGTAGTTGTGGCATATGGGCTCAGCAGCTGTGGCATGTGGGCTCAGCAGTTGTGGCTTGCAGGCTCTAGAGTACAGGCTCAGTAGTTGTGGCACACAGGCTTAGTTGTTCCGCGGCATGTGGGATCTTCCCGGACCAGGGCTCGAACCCCTATCCCCTGCATTGTCAGGCAGATTCTTAAACCACTGTGCCACCAGGGAAGTCCCAACTTGGGCTCATTTCTGAGCCAGTTTCCTGGTCTGTTAAAAAGTAGCTTTGTAAAAATGGCAAGAGGTGGAGAATTTAGCATACCCACTTATCCGAGGGCCAGGATGTCTTGTTAGAGAAGCACTCACTGCAGTTGCTTAAATAATGATATAAAAGCTTTTCCTTTCCTTATAATAACAAACTTCCTTCTATGAATAGAGTCATTTTTGGACTAAATGCAGATTATCACTAAACCAAAGCAAAATCCTATCTGTCAGATAGTGTCTAGCTTATTAGGAAAATAACATGCATTTCACATAATGGTCATTAAAAAATTAGACATACTCAAATAGCATTTAAAACTATATCATAGTTGTAACTTCAGAGACAGAAATTTCTAAAAGGCAAGACACAACAAAAATCATTTTCTTTTCTTGATAAAAATAAAATTTGTCATTTGATTACTCCTCTTAAGCAAAGACAAAGTAAACACTTGCAAATATTTACAGAATAAAAATGTAAATATATTACCTCCTACATCTATGAAGTGTTTTGCAGCCAAGCCAGAACGTGGAGCTACAAAACAAAAAAGGATAAATTGACTGTCTTAAGAGGGAAGGGCAATACTGAATATAATTGACACAATTTAAGCAGGTCACTCTCATCTCCTATAACATCCGTATCTTAATCTTAATGTTAGCAGATGGCTATGAATTAAAAATGTATTTATCACATTGTATTACCAAAGTAGAAAAGAACAGTTTAGAAAATGTTGACAAGGTTTAATTCAAAACCAAGTTAAACCACTCCAGCATGTCTTTAGGCAACTGAGGATCTATGGTGGTGAAGCTGTGGACTGCTGGAATGAACTGGGAGGTGAACAAGTGGGGAAAACTGTAGACAACTCTGTCCAGACGTCTGGTCACAAAGGGAGGATGGTAGCTGGCAGGGACATGGGGCAGAGGAAGAGGACTTTTATTTTAAAGTAGGAAATCAGAGTATGTTGCAGTATGGGAACAGACATACATGGGAACATGCAGGATGGGAACATCATACTGGGAAGAAGGCAGAGAGAGAGAGAGAGAGAGAGAGAGAGAGAGAGAGAGAGAGAGAGGCATAAACGCAACCACAGAGTAGCAGAGCTTAGCCTAGAACTTGGAACTCCTACTCATAATTCAGATGCCAAAAGACATGTTTGTATGAAACAAATGAACCAGAGTAAGAAGCTAAGTTTATACCTTATTCTTGCTGACTTGAGCATCAGGCCTACCATTAATTACCCTAACTTCTAGTATTTTATTCCAGAATAACCTATATCAGGCACTTTGTCAATAAATGCTACACCTTCCTGCCTTCAGTTATTTCACCCCATCTCCTAACTGCCCCCCCCCGCAATTACACTAAAAATGCAGTCAGTGCTGGCAAAAAGAGATGAAGAGAGCGCTCATCTCATTTTTCTTTTAAAGGCTAGTATTAGCAGTTCTCTGACTCGTGGCTAACAAGATTCCCCCAGGGATCACAGTGCAATTACACAAAAATGCAGTCAGTGCTGGCAAAAAGAGATGAAGAGAGCGCTCATCTCATTTTTCTTTTAAAGGCTAGTATTAGCAGTTCTCTGACTCGTGGCTAACAAGATTCCCCCAGGGATCACAGTTCCATTTGCTCCTTTATGTTTACTCTGAAGTTAGTCAGCAAGTAATTATGCTCTTGAAAAGAAGTTTTAAACTCTTTCTATAGTGACAACTGACTTGGGGCAGAAAAGTCAAACCTGTTGACTTGACCTGCATTTTGTCCTCTCTCCTGCCACTGGGAGGCATTTCCCTCTAGTGCACTGAAGCGCATCCCTTGCCTAGCACACCCCATGAGAGGATACCCAAAGGGGGAAAGGCTAAAGGGCCTGATGTTTTCAGGGGTTAGAAACTTTACTCTCATAAGATGCCATGTGCCATTATCCTGAACCTGCCTCTTTTTTCTTATAAAACAAATACCACCTTCACAAAGAAATCTGACTTCATATGCAATCTGATCCTTGAAGGGGGAGTTGGTGTAAGACTGGAAAAAGCACCAGTTAAAAATCACCTATACTGGGCTTCCCTGGTGGCGCAGTGGTTGGGAGTCCGCCTGCCGATGCAGGGGACGCGGGTTCGTGCCCCGGTCCAGGGGGATCCCGCATGCCGCGGAGCGGCTGGGCCCGTGAGCCATGGCCGCTGGGCCTGCGCGTCCGGAGCCTGTGCTCCGCAGCGGGAGG